AGGGCAGTGGGTGATCATTTTAAAATGGGGCTAGAGAGGAGCGAGGGCCCATCTCCCAGCTCCTTCTTCAACTCTCTTCCAGAGACACAACCTTACTATGTCTATTAAAAAAAAAAAAAAAAAAGGCTGGAGGAGAAGGAGGAAGGGAAAATTCTAGCTGCTGCAGGTCCAATTTTTCAGTGCTCTCCCAAGACCAGCAGTGCCCGACAACGTGTTGGAAATGCAGATTCTCAGCCCCCGCCCAGACTTAGCAGATCAGAAACTCTGGGGGTGGGACCAGCAATCTGTATTTAAGCAGCCCTCTAGGTGATTCTGATGTGGGCTAAAGTTTGAGGACCCTTGTCCTGGTGGTGGAGTCCCTGGGTGGTGCAAACTGTTAATACGCTCAGCTGCTAACTGAAAGGTTGGAGGTCTGAGTCTACCCAGAGGCACCTAGGAAGAAAGGCCTGGCGATCTACTTCTGAAAAAATCAACCACTGAAAACCCTATGGAGTACAATTCTATCTGACACACGTGAGGTTGCACTTTGATTCAAGGACAACCGGTTTGGTTTGCCGTAGGAAGAAGGGAGGGAGGCCTGGAGGCATAATGGTTAAGCGCTCAGCTGCTAACCCAAAGGTTGGAAGTTCGGACCCACCAGTGGCTCCGTGGAAGAAAAGACCTGGCAATCTGCTCTTGTAAACTGTAGCCTTGTAGTGTCATTACGAGTCTGAATCGACTCAACGAGACAGCAAAGAACACCACCAACAGGAAGATGGAGCCTCTCCCAGAGGCTTCTAACCTGGCTCTGCCTACTGTCTTCAGGGAAGTCTGCTCTCTGTGCTCATTAAGAGAGGAGCATTACCCTCCGGCTTTGGGTTAGTGCCCTGTTCTAGGGTTCCCAGCCCGTCCACTGATCTGGCCTCCCCCTGTGTGCGCACATTTGCAGCACCGGTGGTGGTTTTGGGTCTGCTTCCATCAAGTCTGCCAAATGTGCCCTGTAAAAGAGGGGGCTCCTCAGGTCTAGGGGATAGCTTTTTTCCCATTTTAGGAAACCCACAGCTTTCCCCAGCCTATCTCAGAAGGCGAGCGAGGGCTGTTGCCCCTTGGCCTTCAGCTCTGGTGCCACCACCTCCTAGGCCGGCCCACAGCAGCCCCTGGCTTTATTGGATTTTCAACAGATGTTCCTGTTCACACTTGGTCCTAGGAAGTCAATCCATTAACAAAAAAACTGAAAAAGCCAATCAGGCTCATTGCAAATTATACTGAAATGGAAGGAAAAGATTAAATGCAGCAATTTCTTTATCCCACGGCCCTCCCCTCCCCAAGCCCTCTGTCACCCATGCCAAGCGCTCAGGCGCCGGCCAGCCACGCCAGCCAAAGTTCTTGCTGTCTTGATGATTTGCAATTCTCTGCATAACTCTGCCTCTTGGGTTTGTTTGACTAGAGATAGGCTGGGAAGTGCCTCTTATGCATTGGCATGTTGCATTTGCAATTTTAATTGCTTATCAGAGAAGGAGAAGGTTGACAACATTTGGTAATGGAAATTTCCACTCTCTCTCCTCTCTGATTTTTTTTCTCCCACCTTGCCTCCCGCACTCTCTTCCTCCCCCACTTCCCCGGTGTTAGCCACGGGTAGCCCCTCTCGCTTTGTCCCTCATCCCCTAGCTCTCCAGCTCATTCACAGACCTGAGGGCCAGGAGCAGACTCAGAGGCACCTGGCAGGCCAGAATTCGAAACTCAAAGGAAAAACTGTTCCGTCTCTCACCATTTCCCCATCCTCCCTCTTATCCCATCCCAGCCTCTCCCGCTGCCACTCTCTAGGTTTTGAAAGGATTCCGGAGCAGAGAACTCTCTAGCTAGCCTCAGTTTTCAAAAGATTATTCTCCTTTCATTTCTTTCTCCCCCTATTATTGTTATTATTTATTTTTTTTACAAAACAGGAGAAAAGAGAGAATTGGGTTGGGGGAGGTGACACATTTCTCCACAAAGGTACAAAATTGCCTATAGAAAGTCAACCTCAGCACGCTGAGCCTGGGTGCCGAGACTCCGGCACTCCTGGACATTCTTCTCCCCAGATGTCCTTCAGATCTGGTGGGGGTGCCTTCCACTTTGAGAGCGGATCTCAAGTGGGAAGGAGAGGCCTCCTCCAGCCCTTGCCCAAGTGGGAAAGAGCAAGCAACAGAGACTGTACAGAGAAGGGGGAGGGACGCATCCTGTGGGCCAGGGGCCTGGGACACAGGTAGGGAACATCCAAGCTGAGGCTAGGAGCCTCTGGGCACATAGATAATGGGGAGGCAGGAGGCTCCCTGGAGTCCTTCCTTTCCTTGGAGGTGTTCTTCAGACAGCAAGCAGAGGAGCCCCTAGAAAGTAAGGGCGGCCCTGCTTGTCCTGGTTCAGCTGCCCAGCCCCAGACACGTGGGTCCATGTCACTCTCCTGATGGGGCATCTGGCCCAGATTGCTTTCCTTTTGGTAAAAAGTAGTTCTAGTCCTTTCTCTACTGCCGAGAACAGGCTGAGCTTCAGGAATTTTCAGACAATGGTGGCAACAGTGTCTCCCCATCTGAGGATCTCGACAGCTTCCTCCCCGGGTTCCAGGGCAGGACAAGAGGTGCAGACACCACCCGGACAGAGGGGCCACTCCAGCCCCAGAAAGCCCAGGCTGGAAGGAGGGGCCGCCCGACCACCCCCTGCCTTGGTTGGCCGGTGCCAAGGTGGGCCGCCAGCCCGGCTGCCAGCAGGAGGATTGCGAGAGCCAGGATGGCTAGGAGCCCAGGCCGGTCCCCTACGGCTCTGTGGCAAGGAGTGGCCTCCTTAGTCCTGGTCCACACACAGGCCAACTGGGTGTGGCCATCAGCAAAGGCCACCTGCAGGCAGGCCCAGTACTCCGTGGCCTGAAGGAGGCGGGTGATGTTGTAGCTGTGGGTACCCCGGGGCAAGCGTGCCAGAGCAGTGGCCCCCCGGCCCCAGAGAGAAGAGGCGCTGGACCAAGTGAGGTTGGTGGAGACTGTGTTGGGTGGGGGGACCCAGGTGAGCAGGATGTGATAGGGGTGGGTCTCCTGCACCCGGAGCTCCAGCCCCCCTCCCTCATCCCTGCCTGGCTGGAGGGGAGCGCGTCCGACAACCACGCTGATCGTCTTCGTGTCAGCCCCCAGCAGGTTCTGCGCCACACAGGTGTACAGCCCTGCCTCTTCTGCCGTCACCCTCCGCAGCTCCAGAGTCCCCTCGGGATACACCCGGTGCCTCCTGCCTGCACGGGCAGCTGTCAGTCGAACCCCGGCTGGCGTGACCCAGTAGATCTCGGGCTCCGGTTCAGCTAGCGCCCGGCAGTGCAGCACCAGGCTCTCTCCGCTGGCCACCTGGAGGCTGGGGGGGAAGCTGCGTGGGGAGATGAGGGGCAGGCAGTGGTCCGTCATCTCCCGGAAGGGCACCTCGCGGACAGGGCGGCGCTGGAGGTCTGGAGGCTCAGCACACAGTGTAGACTGCGGCTCGATGAAGCGGACCCGGGTGCCCGTGGCATTGGCCCAACGGATGACACAGTCACAGCGGATGGGGTTGCCGTGGAGCCCCACCTCCTGCAGGTTGGGCAGGGACTCCACTGTCTGCTGGTGCAAGGCACTAAGAGCATTGTTGTTGAGCATGAGGGTCTCCATCTGGGGCAGGTGGTGGAAGGCGCGGGGGTGGATAAAGGACAGCCGGGGGTTGTTGGTGATGTCCAGCTTGGTCAGCTCGGGGAGGTTAACCAGGGCAAACTTGTCGATGGAGACCAGCTCCTCCATGTTGTTCAGCCCCAGCTCCTTGAGGTGCAGCATGTTGGCAAAGTCCCCCGGCCCCACGCGCTGCAGTGGGTTCTTGTTCAGGTCGAGGAACTTGAGCCCGGGCACCTGCTCCAGTGCCCGCCTGGGCACACGGGCCAGCTGGTTGTCATAGAAGGAGAGGCTCTCCAGGCTCTGCAGCCCCTCTAGGGCGTAGTCGGAGATCTCCTTCAGGTTCATGCCTGCTAGCACCAGGCTGCGCAGGCTGGCCAGGGGCCGGAAGTTCATGTCCAGGATGGCATCCACCTTGTTGCCACCAATCATGAGGATCTCCAGGTTGGGCAGCATCTCGAACCAGCGGCTGTCGATGGCCCTCAGCAGGTTGGAGTTGAGGTGCAGCCGCAGGAGGTTGCTGAGGCCGGCGAAGGCCCTGGGGGCGATGCGGTAGAGCTGGTTGTGGTTGAGATAGAGTTCCTGCAGGCTGCTCAGCCCTGCAAAGCTGTGGTCCTCCAGCCGGGTCAGCTGATTCTCTTCTAGGTGCAGGCTCAGCAGCTGGGGCAGGGCCAGGAAATCACAGTCGCGGGCATCTGAAAAGCTGTTCTGGGAGAGGTCCAGCTCGGTCAGGTTGGCCAGGTAGCTAAGCTCACTCTGGTCCACACGGACAATGCTGTTGCTCTGCAGCAGAAGGGTCTGCGTGCCCGCAGGCAGCGCCGGGGGCACGGTTGTCAGGAATAGGTCGTTGCAGTCCACGGTGGTGGCCTCGCGGTAGGACGAGCGGGGCGTGTACCAGGGCCGGATCTGGCAGGCACACTGAGGGGGGCACGGCACACGCCAGGGGACCACAGGCACAGCAGCAGTAGCGCCAGCCACCCAAGCTAGCAAGAGGGGCACCACGAGGAGCCTCATGGTGGAGCTGCAGGGCAGGGGAGCATCCACAGAAGAGTCTGGAGTCCTGCTTATAGCGTTTTGCAGGCTGAGGGTCAGCAGCCCTGCCAGGGCCCGGGGAACCACCCTCCCGCGGTGGTCATTCTATGTGGGAGTGGGCGGGCATCGCTTCTTGCCCCCTCCGGTGCGGTTCCTCGCGCTTGTCCACCAGGCGGGCCTGCTCACTCATCGCCACGCCATCAGAGGCAGCCCTGGAAGAAGAGGATGCGGAGTTAAGGAGATGGCGGAGAAGCAGAATCTACACCTTCTCCCGTGTCTCCCCTGTTTGGCTCAAGAGGACAAAGGAGCTGGGAGAGCGGAAGGGCAAGGCCTGTGCCAGGGCTCTTGGGGTCTGTCCCACGGTCCTGGAGGCCTCAGTGTCCTTTTCTATGACCTGTTGGGGAGGGAGTGACTGTGGATCTCAGGGAAGGAGGTAGAGATTGAGCTTTTGAAGCTCTCAGGATAACGGGGCGGAAGGGCTGTGTGTGTCTGGGAGAGAAGGAGAGAGGATGGGATGGGGTTACTCTCACCTTCAGAGCCTTTCTTCTCAGTGCGGAGAGATGTGGAGTGGATTCTCCGGCCTTTCTCCCCGCTCTCCTCTCTCCCTCCCTAGCTCACCACCCAGCTGCCTTCAAGTGGATGCCCCTGGTTCACTGGGTAAACAGACCAGCAGCCAAATCTTGGCTCCACCACTTACTACCAGAGAAAAGTTGGGAAAAGTTGCTTAACTTCCCTGAGCGTCAGTCTCCGACAGAAAGCTTCTCCAAAGCCTCCCCATCCCTGGCTGGCTGGGCGGCCTGCTTCATGTTCCTGCAATGCCCCATGCTTCTTTCTGTCGCAGCCCTGACCACGTCACATGGCAAAGTCTCCCCTACTAGGCACCAGTCTTGCTCATAGTTGTACCCATAGCACAGAGCACAGTACCTGACCGAGCAGGTGTCAGCGAGTATTTATCGTATGAATCACTCTCTGTGGCCCCAGGATTCCTTCTGCTGGGAAGCTGACATCCCCTGGAATCTAGAATCCAAGTCTCTGCTGTTTCTGCCCTCCCAAGTGTGGGTAACCAATCCAGGTTCTCGCTCAGATCCCAGGGACAGGCTGTACTGCCTTGGAAACAAAGGGGGCCCGACTCTGTCCCCTTCCCCAGCCTGGTTTGACTGAGAGGAGCAGTGGTCTGATTCTGGGTGGTTCTCCAGATGCAGGCATCACGGAAGCACACGCTCACTTATTAAGCACCCACCATTTGCCAGGACTCTTCAAAGACTCTGAATGTCTTCTTTCATGTAACCCTGATAACAGGTCTATGAGATAAGCATTAATACCTCCAGTTTTGAGGACATTGGTGGTTCAGCGGTAGAATTCTCGCCTTCCATGTGGGAGACCCGGGTTTGATTCCCAGCCAATGCACCTCATGCATAGCCACCACCCATCTGTCAGTGGAGGCTTGTATGTTGCTATGATGCTGAAGAGGTTAGATGGACTAGGAAGAAAGGCCTGGCAATCTACTTCTGAAAAATCAGCCATTGAAACCCATATGGATCATAATGGTTTGATACAGAACTGATCTTGGCCATGGCGCAAAACTGGGCAGTGTTTCATTCCATTATGTGTGGGGTCACCATGAGTTGGGGGCCTACTCAATGGCAGCTAATAACTACAACCCCCCGGTTTATAGATGAAGAAACTGAGGTTCAGAAGAGGTAAAATAACATGACTTAAGTCACATAGCTGGTAAGCGGCAGCAGATGAGAATCAACCCAAGTCCAGACCATCCCATTTCCACCATGTTTCTGCCCCCAGGTCTGGCCTGAGCCTGCCCCAGCCCCCTGGAGGTTCTGGGGTGCACTGGCTGCTGCAGCAGCAAGTTGGGTGCCCATTTTCGTCCCCCGGGGTGATGACTCCTTACCAGGGAACTGTGTGAAGCTCAGAGATGTGTCTCCTACCACCATCCAAGCAGGTGCCCTCTCAGCTGGGCCTTGCCCTGGCTAGAGGCGCTCTTTTCCCACGGCATCCGCCTCCCAGGATGCTGGGGCTGGGCAGGGGTAGTTGGAGGCATGGAACCCTTCCCTGAGCAGCAGAGCCACATGCCTGTTTACATTTGACTACTTCCCACCTTCCTCTGCAGCTATTTCTGAAGGTGGGAAAAACAACTGTGACTTAAAATGAACAGAGGTTTTGCGTGGGACGGTGTGTGCACTGACACGGAAAACTCACGGCAAACAAACATGTGCATAGACACGTGCACACCTGCATACATGTGCAAGGGGGCACGGGGGAGCCCACCTGGCCAAGCCAGACATGGGCAGTCAGGAAGGTGTAAAGGAGGGAAGACTTGGTCTCAAAGATCGCTTCTTGTTCTGGAATTCCATGGCGTTCTATCTGGGTGGAGTGGAGCTAGGGAACAAGCTGAGTCCCCAAGAGCGCTCTGCTGTGGAACTGGATCTAAGGCCAGTGGTCCTGCCACACTCATATACATGGCTTCTGACTCCTGCCCAGACCTGGGGAGAGACAGCAGAGCCCATCAGCCAATAGACCAGCACCCCAAATCTTGGCTCTACTACTTACTATCAGAGAAAAGTTGGGAAAAGTTGCTTAACCTGTCTGACTGTCCGTTTCAGTGTGTATAAAATAAGGTTGTCATTAGGATCAATGAGCTGAGTATGCTGCATACAGAAAGAGCTCAGTAAATGTCAGCTCCGGTCATCTCTTGGGGTTGGGAGGCTCTCCACCTCTAGGACTTCTTATGGGAAAATCGAAGTTGGATGCTAGGACTCAATAGGCCTCTTTCTAGCTTACCCCATCATGGGGACAGCATCGGGTCAAGGTGGGGTGGGAAATCGTGAATAGAAACAGGTAACGTGGTCACATCTTTTAAGAGTGTCACTATAGTTGGGGTTGTTGTTGGGTGCTGTTGAGTCGATTTTTGACTCATAGTTACCCCTTGTGACTTAGTAGAGCTGCCCCATAGGGTTCTCTAGGCTGTAATCTTTACGGGAGCGGATTGCCAGGTCCTTCTCCAGTGGAGCTGCTGGGGGGGTTTGAACCGCCAACCTTTCAGTTAGCAGCCAAGAGCTTAACCGTTGTGCCACCAGGGCTCCTCTAGTTGGAGGCAGGACCAAAACCGCAAAACTATCAGGAGAGCCCAGGACAGCTCCGAGTAGAGAGGGGCAAGCTCCTGAAGTGGCAGGAGACAAGGGTGAGGGCTGGAGTAGGGCAAGGAGTCATCACCCAGAACCCCAACCATCTCCCTGGCCTTTAGCCTGACCTGAGGCCCACGCTTCTGTCCTCCTCCAACGCTTTTGTTCTAAGTGCTGAGTCAGGCTTCAGCTGCAAGGAGGGTACCAAGGAACAATCTAAAATGCAATCAAAAACCTCCAGAGACTTGCCTTTCCCTTCCACCCCAGGCAGCACCCTCCTTATAGCCTCCTCTGGCTGGGCTGGGTGGATGAGGCCAAGCTCGCTCGTCCTCGGCCAGCAGTCCAGGGCCTGGTCAGCCTCCAGGGAGAGGCAGCAGTTTGATGACTCGTGTTCACACTGCACCTCTGGTCCCGAGGCTTAGTAAAGGCCCAGGCAAGTCCCCCTGACCCTGGCTGTTCCGGAATGGAACTTGGAGCTGCCCACTCACCTGCCATCACCATTTAGGTTGTGTTGCACATGGCCCACTCGTGCAGGCTGATTAACAATCTCTGCCAAGGAGATACAGAGAAAGCTAATTGTATTTTACCCATAATCTCCCCGGGTCATCAAGAGTTCAGCCTATCACGTGTATATTTTCCCCAACTCGATTTCAAGCTCCTTGTGGCAGGGGCTATGACTGTTTTTTGCAGCCCTTACAGCACCAAGTGTAGTACTGAGCTAGCTGAAAGGCTGGAGGTTCAAGTCCACCCAGAGGTGCCTCAGAAGAAAGGCCTGGCAATCTACGTCCAAAAAATTGGCCATTAAAAACCCATTGGAGCACAGTTTTGCTCTAACATACATGGGGTCACCATGAGTAGGAGTTAGCTGGACAGCAACTGATTTTTATGAAAGAATAAAGATAGTGAAATGTGTAGAGCATATGTACATTATATGTAGGCAGAGAAGGACTTACTTGTTCTTATGTTTCAGGGGAGACAACTGAGGCTCAGAAAGGTTAAGTGACTTGTCAGAGGTTGCACAGCTTCTAACTGGCAGGGCCAGGATTCAAACCCAGGTCTTTGACTCCACAGTCTGCCCCACCAGCTGAGCCAATACTCGCTGCCTCGTGATCAATGTCTGCTTTACACGAGAAGAGCACAGGGCTGGCCCAGAATGCCTGCCTCAGTCAAATCTCTCCAGAGCTCTATCTGGGTCATGGGCTCCTCTCGCCTACCACCTGCTGGGCCCCTCAGGCACAGTTCTGGGAACCCTGGCTAGAGTGTCCCTCCTTGGGGTCACTGGCATACTGAGTGCCCCTCAGATGCTGTTCCTGCATGAGCGTGGCTGGGCCTGGAACCCCAGTTACAAACAGAGCCAGCAGGCAGCACCCAGCCCTCAGCCTGCCTCCTGATGGCACGGTGGGGCTGCTCGTGGTGCAGAATGCTCACCAGCCCCAAGCTTTCAGTGACTACATGGAAAGCCCTAGGCCCACGGCCAGGGAAGGAGGGGTGCCCACTTCACGGGCAAGCTTTTCTCTTGGAAGTGGTGGCTCTAGAAATATAATCTGATTTACTTCTTCCAGGCAGCGTCTCTGGATTTAGTGGAAGGTGTGGAAGCAATTCCCTGTACCCCGGATTGAACTAAGACCCCTAGCAACGCTCTAAATGGAGCGTTTTGGAGAAGCTGTTGTCAGGAGCTGAGCTGCTTTCTCTGCTCTCCAGCCCCACCTCCCAGCCTAGTCTCTCTATTGCTGCTCCTCAGAGCCGTTAGGATCCAGTCTCCCCTCCCTTCTCTTTCCTCCCCTCCCTAGCGGCCTCCACGCAGCCCCCCAGAGCCGAGGGTCCAGAGGGAGGAGCAGCGGGCAG